ATCTAATTTACATGCCTTTTACGAAAAAGGGACGTAGTCTAGACGTAGCCTAAGAGTGTATTTAGACTGCCATTCAGCAAGTCACTTCAGTATGTGCATTACTTTAAGCCCATTACTTAAGGCCCATTGAAATTAAGCAGTATCAGAGGGGTAGCCGTGTTAGTCTGAATCTGCAAAAGTGGCGAGGAATCCTGTGGCACCTTAGAGACTACACTTCAGTTAGTCTCTAAAGTGCCACAGGACTCCTCGCCGCTTTTGAAATTAAGCAGGTACTCAAATCCTTTATTGTGCAGAGATGGAATGTAAATGTAGCGATAAATCGAGGGTCTGATGTGTGAGCTGGTGCAATGAGCACACGAAACACGCCACACAGCAGCCCTGAGTTGCCCTTTCCTACACATTTATGCCGTTTTGCTCCTCTGATGAGAAGCAGTCACACTGTGGGGGCATATTTCAGACAAATTTTATCTCCTCCTTTCCGTATACAAAATGAGACTGAGTGCCAGACAACGATATGACCTCGTGGATAAATGAGGACTCAGGAGAAACGGGCCCAGTTCGTGAGTCTGCCATAGCTTCACTGCAGGAGCGGGGATCCTTGTTTGGGTCGGGAGCGGCTGACCCACGCAAAAATCAATCAGAGGCTGCACACAAGTGGGAAAGCAAGTGAGAAGAGGGAGACCCTCCCCATATTCCCCTCGCACACCAGAGACTTGGGAGGCCCAGGCTAGTAGATTTTGTGTGCTCCAGCCCTGCAGGTGGGTGGATGGGCAGCCGGAGCGCCAGTGTGAGATCTCCAATGCTGAGTCTCGGGAGCCAGATCCAGGCAAGCGGTGGACCACATCCAGACCCCGGGCCAGAGGTTCCTCACCCCTGCTTTACTGGGTGAGTTCTGTCCCTTCCCAGTGCCTCAGTTTGCCCGCCTAAAAAAAGATGTTGCCCCTTCTTGCAAAGTGCTCAGAGACCTATGAATGAAAAGCACTACGCCAGAGCTAGGAATTATCGTCATTTTAGAACATGCACAATTGTTGTACGTGCTTTGAAGCACAAATGCAATTCAGTCAAACCTCTGTTGCCCATAGATAACCCTCAAGAGCGCACAGAGCATCTGTCACCTGCACGTCACAAAATGCTCTTAACGAATTCTCACAGTAGTCCTGTGAGGAAGAGAAGCATCATTATTTTCCTCACTGCATAAACAAAGTAAACAACAGCACAAAAGAGTTAAAGGCCAGTGGCACACAGAGGCTACATCTACACTATGAGTTTTCTCAGCAAAAAATATGCTAATGAGGGACTAGTTTGCATGAGTCACGATCTCATTTGCATTTTTTCTGCCAATCCGTTTTTGCGCAAAACAAGCAGTGTGGACGTTTTCTTTTTGCGCAAAAACCCTTTTTCCGCAAGATCGGTATACCTCCTTTTTTGGGGCAGCAGGACCTTGTGGGAAAAGGGATTTTTGCGCAAAAAGAAGACATCCACACTGCTTGTTTTTGTGCAAAAATGAATCTGCAGAAAATATGCAAATGAGATAGCGACTCATGCAAACGAGTCCCTCACTAGCATATTTTTTGCCGAGAAAACTCGTAGTGTAGCCGCAGACAGAGCGTCCACGGCAGTGCTAGATACACAATCCAGAATTCTGAGACTGCACTCATCTTCTGCACAGCTGGTCAGAGTCATTACCATCCTCGAAAAAGGCAGAAAGATTTCTAATGTCATTTCTAACCGGAGAGTGACAGCAGCTGAATTTTAGGGAGGTGTTTTGATACTCTCTGCTTCACCATCAAAAAGCTCTATCCACGAACAAGACAGGTTCAAAAAGCTGAAATGCCCCAAAAGAAAAGTCTTATGAGGCAAGGCCAGATTAGCCGCAGGCATATACTGTTCAGTAAGAAGAGCAAGGACTTCTTCCCCTTTATACTGTATTAGTCAAGCGCTTTTGATATGTGACTCGCCTGCAAGGCATGATGGGAGCTGTCAAAGAACAACAATGATTTTCTGCAATGACACGGTGCTTCTTAATGTTTCTTCAAACATTATTTCCTGTCACATACATCCTAATTCATTGCTGCTTCATCAACACGGAGTATGTACTATGATGAATGAATGGTGGGAATACAGAGCTAGCACCTCCATTCTTATTTATGATACAAGCTGGGATGACAGGAACAAGTTTTAAAGGAGTTTTTTAAACCACTCGAATATGGCAGAATCTGTGGGAACCAGTAACAGGAGAAGGAGCCTTTTATTGTTTGGTCTAGGGATGTTAAATTTCGAGTAACTGACTAATCGACTATTCGGTTAGTCAATAGGGTGCCTCCTCCCTAGGGCTGTTGCTAAACTTCAAAGGTGAAAGTACCGCATGGAGCCCAGGGTCAGCTGACTCCAGCTAACCCCGGGCTCCATGTGGCGCTGCCACTTCGAAATCCCATGGGGAGCCCAGTGTCAGGCTCCATGCGGTGTTTCAAAGCGGCAGCACCGCATGGAGCCCAGGGTCAGCACGGGAGTCCCCAGCTGATCCCGGGTTCCACATGGCGGTTAAATACCCCCCCCCCCCCCCCCCCCCCCCCCGCTGCCTTTTTCTGACAGAGGCAGCAAGGGCGGGGGGAAAGCAACTAGTCGACTAGTCACTCACATCCCTAGTTTGGTCACAAGTAACTAAGGGTGCCTGCACAGCACCCTACACACAAAATAAGATATGCTGTTTAAGCTACGCAAATTGCTTATCTTATCTCGAATCTCTTTCGAAATAGCTTATTTTGACATTTGACCTGACAGCACCAAATGTCAAAATAACACGCTATTTCGAGCCATCCCTTAACCCTCGTGCAATGAGGCTTACCGGGATGGCAAAATAGTGTACCTGTTATTTCAAAAAATATTTCGAAATAATGGACAGCTTGTGAAGACACAGGGCACCTATTTCGGAATACCTCCGTTATCCCAAAATAATCGCACAGTGTGGACATACCTTAAGGCAGTGGTCCCCAAAACGGTGCCCGCGGGTGCCATGGCATTTGTGTGCGCCCGCCAAGTGCTCGGGGCTGGCTTGGCCCCGGGCATGTGGCGCATGGTGAGCACTGGCCCCAGGAGTGCTGCAGATTGAAGACACAGGGCACCTATTTCGGAATACCTCCGTTATCCCAAAATAATCGCACAGTGTGGACATACCTTAAGGCAGTGGTCCCCAAAACGGTGCCCGCGGGTGCCATGGCATTTGTGTGCGCCCGCCAAGTGCTCGGGGCTGGCTTGGCCCCGGGCATGTGGCGCATGGTGAGCACTGGCCCCAGGAGTGCTGCAGATTGGCCATCCGTGCTCTGGGTGCGCGGTGCATGTGGGGAGTGCCGGCCCCAGGCACGCGGTGCGAGGGGGTCCTGCCCCCGGGCACGCAGCTATGGGGGGGCCCCGGCTGGGGGGCCCGCCCCCGGGCGCATGGCTGGGGGGGCCTGCCCCCGGGCGCGCAAGTGTCCCCGCCCTCTGGCGCCCGGCGGGCAAACGGCCACGCCCCCTGGCGCCCGGCAACCTTAAATGGTTGGGGACCACTGCCTTAAGGGCATGTCTCCACAGGGGAGTTATTTCAAAATAACCAGCCGAGCGTCCACACTACCAAGCCTGTTATTTCAAAGTAACAACTCCTGCTTCTGAAGAGGAATAAGCTTTTTCCGAAATAGTTATTTTGGGAGTTATTGTTTCGAAATAACTGGGTAGTGTAGACATAGCCTGACAGCTGTTAGGCCACTTACTGTTTCTGGCTCAGTTGCTATGTGAAATCCCTGGTCTTCTCATCGTAGCAGAGAAATACTGGCTGTCTAGTCCAATACTCCTGTCTCACACAGCAGGTGCTAACAGGGTCTGGGGAAGGTGCAAGAAACCCTACAGGAGGGTATTATGATAAAATATGTCACTGGGGAAGGTTTTTCTCTAACCCCCAATAGTTACTGCTTCGGGACATCAGCAATCCTCTAACGTTTATCTCCTTCAGATAAAGCATGAGTAAGCCTTACCGTAGCACTGCAACAAAGCTATGCCAGCTTTCGAATCATTTCTGGAAGCTTCCCCTGCTCAGTTCAGTTGTTACATTTACAGGTACCCACAGGGCAAAAACCGGCACCGCATTTGGTACCGTTTGACACGCTAGCCAGGAGTCTTATACCAAGGACTGAAGTCACATGACACGTGAGCGCTCCTCTTACCCCATTCGGGGAGGGAGGAGGCACACAGAGGCAGTTTGTAGTTGTCACTGCATTCTACTAGTCATGTCAAACAGAGGATTTCATTAAACCCCGAGATTTCGATCTCAAATTGTTTGACTGATATTAATCTCATAGAACACAGACAAGCACCAATGCAATATGGCCGGCATTCTGACTGACTTCCATTCGGTACACTCGGAATGCACACTGTTACTGTTCAAAGAGGAATGAAATGTGACACCTAAAGGGAGATCACCAGATGGACAACCATAAAGATGATATCTCTGTCTTTGCCGCGTTAGATTGCCTGATCTATTTCCCCTTTGAACAGTGTCTGCTGGACACTGCGTACAATAGTCCTTGCTAAATCAAATTCTAAAATTCCAACAAGGCATTGCAAAAGTGCAAACCTCTCATCATAGACACCGTTCCATACTTCCACAAGTCACCACATTCTGTCTCCTTCTCACATGTCAAATGCAAAGAATTCCACCAAGAAAGCTATTCCACCAAGATGGTCGTATATTGGCTGGATCAGAACAGACTTGAGTAACCTTTACACCACTAGCTGTGACGAAGTGGGTCTTTGCCCACGAAAGCTTATGCTCCAACACTTCCGCTAGTCTATAAGGTGCCACAAGACTCCTCACTGCTTTTGCAGATTCAGACTAACACGGCTACACTTCTGATACTTTACACCACTGTTCAGCCCAAGCACAATATTTCATGCTTCAAACCATTTCACTGCTTCCTGAGATAGTGAGATTTGGTCACTGATGTTGGTTTTAAAAGATCATCACTTACCTGCCAGAATATGCTGTCTATTGTATTTCCAAGAAAACCATCTCTCCCTTCTGAAGATACCAGTTTAGGTCCAAGAATGGTCATAAACTCATCAAAGTCAACCTGGCCATCACCTGAAATGAGAGGGAAAATATTAAGGAGTCTTGGTTGATTTGAGCACCTTTGAGATATCAGATCCATGTACCATCCTGGATAGCTCTGCCTGCTAGAAAGAAAACAGGTTATGAACCTGTGGGTGCATGCGTCCATATGCTTCTGGCTCTGCAGTGCCAGGAGAAGCATGAGGCCTATCTTAACACCCCTGCTGCACCACTGACTGGGAGCTGCTCAAGGGAAGCCCCTCCTGCCCCAGCCCTAAGCCCCCCCAAAGCCAGAGCCCCCTCCTGCAGCCCAAAGCTCCATCCTCAGCCCCACCCCGGAACCCTCACTCTGGTCTATTATGTTAGGTTGCGGCATGAACAATTTTATTCCACTGGATCATGAGAAAAAAAAGTGTGAACCCCCACCAGTGTGGACTCAGACGCAGCGTGCTTAGCAGAAAGGGGAGACTGCCCACGCCACTAAGGAACGCAGTCTGGGCGCTCCCACGGCCCTGCAGTCTACTGTCTGTTTTGTAAATGAGCTGTCTGCAGTGCGTCCAAGTATTAATTATCACCTCGGAGGGCTTTACCGAGGGATTAATAAAAATGCCAAGAGAGAAGCAGAGCGAGCCCTGCTGTAGTGGTTAAAGACGCTTTCAAACACTTTGCTCGTACGGGTTTTTAAAAGAGGAGTGCGATGCAAACCTGTCTGTCTGTTGTATGTATCCAGCCCCTGTCATCACAGTCGTTTTCAGTGTTTATCCTCACACCGTCGCTCTGAGGGAGGGAAGTGCAATTCTCATTGGAGACCCAGGAAGATTCATAGACTTGCCCAGGGGCACATAATGAGACCAGGTGCACATCAGAAACATTTGCAAGGTGGCCGTGCGATGGAAAGGGTGAGATTTGCATGACCAGTTCTAATGCAGATGCAGTTCTACCAGCAAGAAACCACGTTTGTCTGGGAGCTGATACGTGTGCTCAGCCCACCAATGGGAAACTGCACCAGGGCCCTATGATTCTAAGGGGCTTGGGGCTCCAGCCATTGTTGCTGCTGCTCCAGCGCCTGGAGCCACGAGCCCATTAAATCGCAGCTGAAGCACCATGCTGGGTAGTTCTTCAGGCTGCCTGGGAGGTGGGGGAGGCCACGCGGAATGTTCCAGGTTGCCCTGGGACAGAGCACCATTGTTTGGGTGTTGCTAAGGGCGGGCTGCCCTCAGCCCCACCCCTTCTGCCTGAGGCTCCGCCCCCTCTGCCTGAGGCTCCACCCCTTCCGGGAGCACAGTGCCCCCCCACCTTGCCAGGGGTGTGGCATAGCGGTTGGTTCCCCTGCTTGACTACCAAAAGCACTCTTTTGCCAGTGTAAACTGGCTAGATCAGGAGTGTCTTAGAGCGTAGACTTGGCATTTGCTGAACATGGGTCTCCCATCCCTCAGGTGAGCACCCTGACCACCGAGACTCTCTGCTTCTCTTCCCATTTAACCCAATGGGAAGAGACTGGCGCTACAGGGCCTATAGCTGAACAGCCTGCATGGACGTTTTTCTTCAATTGTCAAGAATGACTCGCGCCTGCAAGAGCAGACTAGAGCAATTCTGGACAGAGGTAATTTTGAAAAAGCCAGTGGTAACCAGGTATCTTAGATACCGTGGTGTGTGGTTCCACTGAGTAAGCACTGATTAGTGGCCACAACTCCATCTGCATGCACGTGTGTGTATAGCGGGATGTCGGTATTTGCGCTTTTCAGTGTCACTAGGAGAATTGTTTGCTCTTCCCCATTTGAACATATGGCCCATTGGTTAAAAACTATATAAACTAAATTCTTCTCTGCGCAGAAACACCACGGCAAATAAGCGGAGCCGAGATTGCCGCCTGTCCAGAACCGTGATCTTTACCCACTCAAGAGTGCAGTCAATACGTTCAGGAAGACAAGCCGAGATGAAAGGCACGTTCTGAGAGGGAAGCAAGAAGCATTGCTCTGAAAAACATAGCAGGGCTCCATGGCAGGCTCTAACCTGCCAGCTGCCGAGCACTGTCGCCCCAAACCAGCAAGGCACTCATGCGTGCGTGTAGCTTCCGTCATAGCGCTCAGAGTGACGCTCACACACTCACGGCTAAGCCTGGCTAGAGCATCCAGCACCGTGTCGGAGTCCACCCGGTGAGAGAAGAATCCATGTGTATGTTCATTTCATGGATAGTCTGCTACAGGCAAGACAGAGCGGGGGCAGGGAGTATGGGACCACACATCTCTGAGAGCAGGTTTTTAAAATATTCACAGGAAGAGAGACAGCGCTCTTTTGGCTTCCCTGCGGGAGACGTGACTTTGTGACACCAAGTCAGACTGTATCAGGCACATCACGCTGGCTCGTGTTGTGGAACGCAGTGCAAGGTGGCAGTGAATTCAAGAGGAAATACATGGGAGGTGCAATAACAGAAACACACATTACCCTACAAACTGGGTTAAAAATATTGGTCAGATTATCAAGAAAACAATTTGCATGTTAAACAGCTTCTGTACCGGACCACGCATGTATTTCTTCTGCACTTCTGCCCCCAAAATACTGAATTATCTCCAGAGTAGAAAATGTCATATGGAGAGAGAGGGAGAGAGGGAGAGGGAGGGTGTCATTTCATTTATTAAGGAAACAAGCAGGGAGTGCTGCATAGTTGAACAATAGACCAGGTGTCAGAATTTCTGGGCTCATTTTCTGACTACTTAGAATTTTGGCCAAGTCATTTAAAATCACCACTGTAAGCCTCAGTTTACCTACCGACACATAACTAATGTTTCAACAAGGTTGTCCTGGAGATGAATAAATTGACATTTGTACAGTGTTTGGAAAGCCTCTGATGAGAAATGCCACATCAGTGCAACATTTTCATTCCTTATTTACTGCATTTTCAGTTAAAACTGGTGACCTGCATATGACCTAGGCAGAACCAAGATTTTGCCGGACGGAAAAGGTCCCCTTGAACATTTCTTTTAAGCACAAAAAACCAAAACCAAAAACCAACGTTCTGCCATCAGACTTACAGGAGATCCTGTACCAGAAATAGAAATCACAATTTAAATGGAGAACTCATTTTACGGCATTCAACAGGAAACAGAAAAATCCTTAAATAAATGTACGGGTCATGGAGAAACTAGCATGAAGGGCTACTTTCGGTCCTCAGGTCGACCCTGTGTACTACTGCTGTAATTGCAGGATGAAAGTCTCTAGGGTTTCTCTCAGGCATAAGATGCTGATGCTGGATGAGGTTGAATGAATTTAGCTCCCCCTTAGATCACATATCAGCTCAGAGGACTGCTCACCAGGGTTCCCTCTAAGGTGCGCGCTTGTGCGGGAACGCACCAAGAATTTGCCTCCCGCCCATCTCCTCAGCAGCGCTGTGGAGTGGTGGCTCAGCTGCTCTGGGCGGGGCTGCGTGAGGGGTGGCTGCCCCAGCCCATGAGCAGCAGGGCAGCCACCGTGCAGCCCTGGCCCTAGCTTCAGCCCTTCCCCAGGGCTGGAACTGCGGGCCGCATGGTGGGTGGCAGCTGCTCTGGCGGCTGGGGCCGGAGAAGCCACATGATGAGCAGCAGGCAGCTGCTCCGGCAGCCGGGGCCGGCTAACACCACATGGTGGGGGCGCTGCTCCAAGGCCAGGGCTGTGTCGTGGGGGGCCAGGGCTGCTCTGGTGACTGGGGCCAGCTGAGGCCGCGTGACACAGGGCTGGGGATGCTCTGGCAGCCGGGGCCATGTGGTGGGGAGCCAAAGCCACATAGTTGTGGGTGGGGGGCTGCTCCGGTGGCCAGGGCTGGAACTGTGACCAGGGCCACATAGCAGCTTCTCGGCTACTCTCTGGGCACGTCCCTCAGAGACCTCAGTGCCCCCAACGCTCTGTCCCGCCCCCACGTCACTGCCCCACCCCCAGTACCTCACTCCCTGCAAACCCAGCTTCTCTCTGCCCCAGGGGGGGACTCACAGCAGCCCTGTGAGGATCAGCCTGGGCACCAGGAGCAGCGCATCCCGGGGCAGCAGGGGAAGGGGAAGGGCATGTCTCACCTTCCTCCCATAAAGCGGGGGAGGGGCACTACCAGGGAGCATCTCTTGGGGACCAGAGCCACTGGTGGGTGCCGCAGTGACCCCCATCCGAACACGTGCACATGACTTCAGTATTGGTGCACAAGATGAAACTCGCTCCACTCATGGATGGAAAATCTTCGCGGGAGCCCGGCCACCCACCAACTTAAAGGATCGGGCCTTAACCGACGGCAGAATTTGATCCACAGGTGCTCGTCGCCTTAATAATCACAGCCAGACACGTCTCACTGAATTCTAATCTACGCTGAAGTCGGTCACACTCGGTTCCGACACCGTGCCTATCGAATGCCTCGCTGGCAGCGAGGAGTCGACATTCAGAGCAATCCAATGTCGGGTTATTCAGAAATGGTCGGTTTTAGCGAGGGTGGGGGGGGGGCTAAGCTGCAACGTGTGGATCTAAATGGGACCATCGCAGGCATCCGGGGGTGTCTGGATTGGACGGCACTCTTCAGGCATTAGACAGAGAGGCCTGACTCACAAGAATACGAAGCCAAACGTCTCTGAAGTTCAGGGTTTGGATGGGCTTGGATCCCATGTTCTGGCCTGAGCCCGCCTCCAGCTTTATTAGCACATATTTTATGTGTCAGGCCCAATTCCTGCGGGTCTCTCTGTGCCAAGATATTTGTAATGAGTCCACATTCTACTCCGGTCTCCCCTTCCTTCAGCCTGCACGTTTACATTAATTACCTTAGAGCAAATCCATTTTGCATTCAGGGAGGCAATCTGACAGGAATTAAACAGCAGGCCCAGGGTCTGCGAAGATGCAAATCTGTTGCCAGTTCAGCTCCGATATTCTGCTCCCCTTGGAGTGATGCAGAGCAAATTTTCTCTATCCCCTGCTCCCATCAGTTCTAAAGGCAGAATATTGATGAACACTGTCCAGGTGGGACCTCCCTGGTCCAGGACTCTGAGTGCTCCTGGAATTTGCCAGACCAGGGAGATCCAGGCTTC